TCGCCGACGCCTCGGCGACGCACCGGCGATGCACTGGCATTGGCGAAGCACTGGCAGGGGGAAGGGGGGACAGCAGTGGGGCCTCCCGGAGCCGACGGGGCAAATCTCAGGTCGGGCATGGCTTCCTACGGGCGGACCCCGGAAGAGAAGCAGCGCTTGCGCAAACACAGACTCGGAAGCAGTCGAGAGAGCGCACGACACATCGTCACCAGAACCTTTGTCCTACCAGTCCTGCCACTTCCTCCCCGTGGAGGGTGGGACGCTCGAGGGGGAAAGAAGAAACAGCTCTGTTCTACCAGTCCTGAAGCTTCTTCCTGCAGAGGGTCGGGAGCGGCCAAGAGGGGGGTGTCCAAGAGGGGGGGGTGCAAATCATGACCGGCGGCATGTGCGCGGCCCAGCGGGGGGGCCAGGGACGTAATGAAGTAAGAAGAGGCGCCATGAAATCTGGGGAAATATCATGGCCCCCGCCATGATATCCCCCCCCCCTAGTCATCACCCCCCTCTTTGCCGCCCCCGAAGGAGGGAAGACGAACGGGCACGTGTGCTCGAGCCGGGCGTTTTCGCTTCTTCTCGGGCCCCAGGACCCGCACAGAGCGATGCGGCTTGAGAGAAAATGCCGAAAGATGGGGTCTGGGGTTCCAGGCGCGACTTTTCACGGCGTCTCAATTGTCTTGAGGCATCGGATCTCAGGGCTGGTGAACGTTTTTTGATTCGGCGTTTCGACATTTGGCGGAAGGGGGGGGGGGAGGTCTGGCTCTGGACCTCTGCTCAGTACGACTGTTTGGGACCGTGCGTCCTCTGGGGAAGACTCCACCCAGTCGAAACAGGTATCAAAAAACAGTCAAGATCTACTCCATAGCGGGGGAGAGAGAGAAAGGGGGGTGCGAGGACCCGCGCCGATCGGCAAAATAACGAGTAAAAAAACCGATCACCATCTCATGGCGTCTCATTTTATTCGTGCCTGGCGTTTTCACCGAGTGCTTCGGGGCCCAAGAGATCCTCGCAGATCGCTCCGAACCGAAGAACGGCGCAGAAGCCGAGGTCCGAGACTCCCATCGTGATTTTCGCTACGTTCCGATCTTCCGAGCGAAGTGAGCCCCACCCTCCCCCTCAGAAATCGTGGGGGGCAAGGGTAGGGTTCGTATGTGGCCCCCTAACAACGGCGGCTCTCCCGCCCGTCCCAAATCCGTTCAAAATCCATCCTTGCTGGTCTATCCTGGCCCGTTCTTCAAGGTGGATCCAGTCGTCGCGACAAGAAGTCCCCAGAGAGAGAGCAGTCAGGACGAAAAAAAAACACCAGGGAGGGCCGCCTGTGTCGACGGGCCCTGAAATCCGATGCCGAGAAACACTGCAACCTCGCATGACAGATTGCGACCGGAGCCCTGGAATCTCTTCCTGCGGCGCTTCTCATGCCAGATCAATGCGTGCGGGTCCCGGGCTGGGTAGTCGAAGCCAATCTGGCGCCAATCTGGCAGGCCCAATCTGGCCAACGGGGGCAATCTGGCGAGGGAGCCAACGCGACTCCAGTCTGGCGAATGACCCAAATCCGCCAATCTGGCCAGGCCAGATTGGCCCTCGGGGCCCAATCCGGTCTGCCAGTCTGGCCTTCGACGACCCAGCCTGGAATATCTTTCTGCGGCGTCTCTCATGCCAGATCGATGCGTGCGGGCCCCGGGGGCCCCAGCGCGGGAAAAAATACGCCAGGCGAGACACACCTGGAACTTGGGCGTGGCTCGATGGGGGGGTCATAAACGGGGGGGTTAGAAACGGTCCCATTTCGTGCCCCTTTCGGGCCCCTCCGGAGCCCCAGGGGGCTCGTTCAGGTACCGTTTGGGTACCTTTTCGGACCACCCTCGCCACCCCCCTATTTATGACCCCTCCATTACGCAACGCCCAAGGAACGCCACGACCTCGGAGATCCGGCCACGCGCCGCGGCAGCTGTTGCTTCGGGTCCTGACTCGGGTCTCCGGCGGCCGCTCGGGACGATCCGGGCACCCCCGGAACGCTCTGGGCGAGGCGCAGCTGAAGGGGCCCCAGGACACGCAAATAAATACACACAAATGAAAGGATCGACCATATTTTCCCATGTTTTCTGGGTTTTTGTCTTTCCGCTCAATTCCCATATTTTCCCATATTTTCCTGGGAATCGACGATGAATTGTGTCTGTGTGTTTTTTCTCCTCCTGGGCAGCTGCTGGAGAGCATCCCGGGGCTGGGAAACCGCCGAGAGCCGACGAAGACCCCCGAAGACCTCGGGCCTCGAGCCCGAAGCTCCCAGGATCTCAGGGCTGCCTCGACGCGCCCACCTCCGCAAGCCGCAGGGGCAGGGGGGCGGAGCCAGAGTGGAGGCATGCCGCCTGCAGTCGAGGTGGACTGGGGGGGGGCACGCGAGAGGACACGGGACCCTTTTGAGGGCCACCTTGCCATGGGAATGCAGGGGGTACGGGGCCACGAAACATAGGGCACAAGGGTACCCTGGATTTGGCAGGGTCCACCCACCAGTCAGCCTCGACTGTAACGTTGCCCCTGACCTCCTGAGCCTCCCTGAGGTTGCCCCTGGCCTTCTGAGCCCATCCCCTCCCTGAGTCTATCCCCTCCCTCATGTGGACTGTCCCCCCGTGACGCTGCCCCTGAGCCCATCCCCCCTGACGTTGCCCCTGAGCATATAGTCAAGCTTGATTGGAGAGGACACGCAAGAGTATACAACACCATTTCGAGGGCAGCATTGCCATAGGAATGTAGAAGGCATGGGTTACGAAACTCAAGACACAATGGTACCCTTGAATTGACAGGGTCGACCTACTAAACGAACTCGACCGGATCTCCCCCACGTTGCCCCTGAGGCAGGCCCCCCTGAGCCGGTCCTCCTCTAACGTTGCTCCTGAACTTCTCCGCAAGATTAGCGTCCGACAGCAGTGGGCGAAATCAGCGTTTGCCATGGAACAGATGGTGGGAAACATCGAGCACCATTAAGTTAACAATTTAGCTGGAAGTGGATCCTCGAGCAACGAGCGGGGATGAGTCTGTCTTCTGGCTTGTTGCCCTGCCTTTCTCTCTCCCTCCTCTTTGCTAGTGCGCTCGTGGTCTGCTTTGTTTTCCTCTGCCTCACCGTCGAGCGCTTCAAGCTTCTGCTTCGCAGTCATGGGGCGCTCCGATGTGTTCTGCCACGCGCTGTCGCAACGCCGAGGGTTTTCGCCCCTGCGAGTCGGAAACCCACAAGGCATGGGTCCAGTAGTGAGCTCACTGCTTTTGACAGCGCGCCTTACAGATGCACGGGGCCTGACATGACCCGACCAAGACTTGAGCTGGGTCGGGCGCGTCCTCCTACGTACAAGCGGAAGTTGGAAGAACCGAGAAGTCAAGACGAATTCAAACATAGTAAGCAAAAACAATACAGATTCTTGAACACTCCTCCTGTAGATGGACATGCCCGACTTAAGTGAAGGGGCCCTGGGGCACACAAATAAATACACATAAATAAAAATATCCCCATTGATTAAATAAATATACACAAATTAGAAATATCCCCTATATTTTCCCCAATATCCTGGGTTTCTGTCTTCCCCCCACTTCCCATGTTTTCCCATATTTTTTCCTGGGAGTCGACGATAAATTGTGTCTGTGTGTGTTTTTTTCTCCCTCCTGATTAAGAGCCTGTTTTTTAGACTCTGGCAAGTTTACTTGCATGGACGGGGGGAGGGGGGCTGAGCCTGAAGCAAACCCGGGGGGGGGGCGCGGAAATCACGCAAGTCGAAAGGCACTTGCACGCTAGTATTCGCTTGAAGAGGGGGGCGGGGGGGGGGGGGGGGGGGAGAACGCCATGCAAGTAAACTTGCCCGAATCCAAAAAAAAACAGGCCCTAAGATTGGAAGCCCCGCCCCCCCGGGCGCGCCGGCGAGCTCGAGCACGCGCGCGCGCAGGCGGTGCTCCGGGGGCCCCAGCACCTCCGGGTGCGCCCGCGCGAAGGCCTCGAAGGCCGCGGCGTCGAAGCCCACGAGCCTGCAGGGGCGAGCAGCGGGCGCTGCTTACGGTCGGGGCGTTGACCTAAGGAACCCTAAAACTGGCCATCGCTCGGACGTCCATTCCCTGTGTTTTTTTCGGTGTCGTGCGCGGTTGCTTCGCCAAATGATCAAGGATGCTCCTCGGTGGTCCTCGCCGAAGGAAAAATGCACACTGGGTAGTCTGGCGCCAATCTGGCAGGCCCAATCTGGCAGGCCCAATCTGGCAAACGGGGGCAATCTGGCGAGGGAGCCAACGCGAATCCAGTCTGGCGAATGACCCAAATCCGCCAATCTGGCCAGGCCAGATTGGCCCTTGGGGCCCAATCCAGTCTGACAGTCTGGCCTTCGACTACCCAGCCAAATCAGGAACGAGGCCCCTTTTTCCCATGAGTTAAACTTCGATTTCCCATCGAAATCCTGAGCAAAACCAGAGGCGAGCTGCAAAACAACCAAGGAACACCGAGCCCCTCCCCAACGAAAAGGGTTCCTTCCTCAGCGCCCCGACTGTACGGCTGCCTCGGCGGCGAGCGAGGAGGGGAGACGAGACGGAGAGGGCCTCCTGCAGAGGGCCGCGGGGCCTCTCAGAGGGCCTCGCGCCCTCGACCGAGGTCTCTTCTGTGTCCTCGGGGAGGGCTTGGAACACGTCTTCGAAGGCCCGGGGACTGCCGAGGCTTCTGAGAAGGGGCCCTCCTCTTCTCGCTTCCCCCCCTCGCTCGCCGCCGATGCAGGAGCAAGCAGTGGGCCTTGCTTTTGCGGTTGGCGCTGGAAAGGTGGCCGGTACCGTGCAGCATCGACGTCGGAAGAGCACGCTCTCCCTGTGCGGCGATCCCACGCGAGTGCCCCTTCCGTGCATGCCATCCCCCTGCCACGGCGTCTTCGGTGCTCGATGTCTCCAAGGTGGGAGACAGCGTGTAATAAAAGAGGCCGGCGGCGCCAGATGGCACTGACCTTTCCAACGCCAACCACAAGGGGGACGAAGAAGCGTGCACCTTTCGCCGCGACCTTTTGGGCCTCAGGGGGCACCAGCAGAGCCACGAAGGTGCAACTTTTGTCGCCTCCCCGCTTATCGCCCCCCCCCCCCCCGTACGCAACGCCGGAGCAAACACGGCACACCCTGAGATCCATAGAGGCATCCTGCCTCATCTACTTGTCTGGAGACTGCCGGCTCCCGCGGTCGCCTGGCTGACTACTTTCGCCCCGAGTGCGGTGCAAGGCGCGACCGGGAGCTGGCAGTGACGGCTTGCGGCGTTTGCTGAAGGCATTTTGCGACAGCCTCTTCCGGCTCCCTGCTCACACGCCGTCTGGTGCAAGTTACCAGCCTGGAACATACCCCTATCCCTATGCTGGGCACCTCCTCATCACGATGCCCATCTTAGGGATTCCCTTATTTTTTGAGGGCGGGTCCCTAAGATTGTCATCGCCTCTTGGCGTGTCCATCTCAGGGATAGGGATACGTTCGAGGCTGGTAACACACGCCGTCTGGTGCCAGGCCCGCTCGCTCGCCTGAAGTCTGGGCGTCGACTTTCTGCTCGCAGCGTGCCATTCTGCCGTGCCTCGGGCGCCGGGACCCCCACGGACCGATAGGACTCGAAACATGCAGCAGAGAGATGGGGCCCAGGGCTCCGGCCACGAGTTCTGCTGTGTCGGATCTGAGGCAGAAGCTTTCGGAGGTCCGCGCGGATTTTTCGGAGCGGCACGCCACGCGCCCTGGAGCGGCGCGCTGGTCCCCCGGAGCGCTTCCTACGCGCAGGGCAGGGAGGCCCAGAGCGCCGGTGCGAGACATCTGCGCGGACCTCCGGAGAGGCAACTCCGGGGACGACGAACAAACAGCACTCCCATACCCATAGGCGGGGCGCCACTCCGAGAAAAAACCGCGGGGGCCTCCGCGAAAGTGACGACAGTTTCGCAGATCGCAGCTACCCAGGGGACGAGGAGGAGGAGGAGGAGGAGGAGAATTTGTCGTTCCTGAGGCTTCCCTTCTTAGAATCGTGCAGGCTTCCTGGATGGGGTCCGAGCAAATGGGGCCGGCGGACCGCACCGCTTGGCCGTGCAGCACCGTCGGTGCATCATCGACGTCGGTGATGCATCGGCGTCATCGATGTGGACGGCATCGGGCTGCTCCACATTGAGCCGCATCTCCGATGCATCGACGATGCGGAGCGATCCTCCGACCACGTCCACTCCGACCCCATCTAGGAGGCCTGGGCTCTTCAGGCTCTTCCCCTCGCATTCCCGCAGCTTGGGCAGGGACCGACCATCCCGGCATTCCTATAGGTCTACCACGACATGTTCTCAGAACCCAAAAATGTTCTAAGAACCCTAACACTGTTCTGATAACGTAAACTGAAAGGTGTGAACACAAGGCAGTCTCCGCCAGAACTGTTGTCAGAACATGTCGTGCAGACCGCAAAAAAGGTCTGATAACATGACTTGGTAGGCCTCTAGGCGAGGTAGGACGCTTCGCCACTTCTTGAATAGTCCCCCACATTCTCATGAACAGCAATCGCAGGCCTCGAGGTTGACACCAACACCAAGATCGGCGGTGTGCCTCCACAGAGGGAAGACGATCCCGATCTCGGTGATGGTGGTAATAGTATGGTTTCCAAGGTGACCGAACTAGTACTGCCAGCACCGAAATCTGGGATCCTCTTCCCCCTGTGGAGGCAACCCCCTGTGCTGGTGTTGGTGCCAATTTCCAGGCCTCCAACTGGCCATCGCTCGGACGTCCATTCCCTGTGTTTTTGTTCGGTGTCGTGCGCGGTTGCTTCGCCAAATGATCAAGGATGCTCCTCGGTGGTCCTCGCCGAAGGAAAAATGCACACTGGGTAGTCTGGCGCCAATCTGGCAGGCCCAATCTGGCAAACGGGGGCAATCTGGCGAGGGAGCCAACGCGAATCCAGTCTGGCGAATGACCCAAATCCGCCAATATGGCCAGGCCAGATTGGCCCTTGGGGCCCAATCCAGTCCGACAGTCTGGCCTTCGACTACCCAGGCACACGTCCGAGCGATGCCAAGCCAAAACAACGCCAATGTGGAGTCTGGTATCGACTCCGCCCTGCAGATTCTTCGGGAGCCACTTCTCGGCCCGCACCAGCTGCCACGCGGGCCTCGCCGGGGCGTTCTCCTCCGACCGGCGCGCCGGCAGGGGCAAAAAAGCACCAGGCGCGTCGGGCCCCAGGTTCGGGCCGGGCAAAAGGGTGGGATAGCAAAGGGGGGGTTTGAGAATCAGCTCACGTGTAGCTGATTTTCCCGGCGCCTCCCGGCGCCGGGGGGCGCGCATGTGTCGAGGAATGGGCCCCTCGGTATGGCCGAAACCAGCCGCATGCAGCAGATTTCGAAACCCCCCCGTTCCCAATCCCCCCCTGTCGTCCGGCCCGAGGGGCACGGCGGGAGGTGCTTCCGCAAGTCTCTTCGGCCCCCAAGGGGCTCTCGCCGGGCTCCTGGGGAGACCGGAAGGTGCCGATGCTGCTGCTCCCCAGGCATCTCCCAGGAGCGTGCTGACCAAGATGTCGAGGCGAATGCAGGGATGGCGACGAGGGCCTCACAGGAGGCCCAGGAAACGGAAAACGGCCGAAGGGTAGCAGTATCGATACCTCTTCTTCCTTCGACTTTCAGCCGCCAAGGGGCTCTCGCTGGGCTCATGACGTCGGGAGACTGGGGATCGGGAAAGCTACCCGGGCCCAAGAGGATAGAATTGTGTGAGGATAAATCGAAAATCTCTGACATCCTGCGGCTCTGCAAAATGCCTCGGGCGCCGCGGCCTTCTCAGAGCGTTCCGGAACTCTCTGAGAGCGTTCCAGAGCCTATCCTCGTCCTGAGCCCGCGCGAACACAGCTTGGGAGTCCCCAAACCAGGTGGTGAGATATCAGATGGTGACCCGGAATCTCCAACACGTCACCGCCGGAATTCCGGGACACGGGGGTACCGTCGGGCTGTGTAACTCCTGGGCCCACAGGCGCTCGGAACATCCTCGAGAAACCACACGAGCCCCCGAACGGGATGGTGACGCCGAATCGCCCGAGGCTCACCGCCGGGGGTTGGCACCACCAAGCTTGCGGACTGCCAAAACAGCCGTGCGACCACCGCGCCGCCTCGGCTCGTCGGAACACCTCGCATCGAGACGGGCCAAGCCGGCCGAACTCGATTCCAAATCGGCGGAGCGGGAGCGGGTCGAAGCGGAGCCTGCCCCTGGCCATCGCTCGGTCGTCCACTTCCTGTGTTTTTGTTAGGTTTCGTGCGTGCCTTTTTTTTCGCCAGATGGTCGAGGATGCTCCTCGAAGGTCCTCGCCGAGAAAAAAATGCACACGTCCGAGCGATGCCAAGGCCCGGGGGGCGAACGGAGGGCGTCCGAAGGAGGGCCGGGCGGGCGCCTCCGCAGGGCGCGGGGGCCTCCTGGAAGAGACAGCCACGGGGTCGAGAGCAGGGAGCAGCAACGTGCGCAGACGTTCTCGAGGCCCGCGCGGATTTTCATCCTCGTCTTCGTCTTCGTCATCCTCACCACCAGGCCATGCTGCTTACGTGCATTGGCTTCTTCTGCCAACAGTGCTGCCCAACCGTTCCTGGGTCGTGGAGGCGAGGCCTCCTGGAGACCTATTCAGGCCTCTCGGGAAGGTCTCGGATCTGCGCTGGAGCCATCTCCCTGGCGCGCGGAGCGCGCCAGGGGCGGCGCCCGAGGTGCCGCCAGGGGGTCCAAGCCGACCCCAGAAATCCGGGAGGACCTCCGACAGCAGGTCCTGATGCCGCTCTTCGAGGCACGCAGCGAGTCACAGTGTCACATGGGCTGTGGGGTCTTACGTCAGGGTTTCGCCGCGTGGCGCAAACTGGTTCGCCCCCCCACTGTGTAGCGCGAATTGTTCGCCCCCCGCCGTAACGCGAATTGTGCCGCAGCGCGAACTGTTCTGCACCCCCGCCACAGCGCGAATCGTTTCGCCCCTCCGCCGCAGCGCGAACTGCGTCTCACTGCTAGCCTCCCCGCCGTGGCACGAATTGTTTCGCCCGAGTCCCACCCCCCCCGTGGCGCGAATTGTCTCGCAGCGAGGATTGCTTTACACAGCGCGAGTTGTTTCGCCCCCCCGTAGCGCGAATTCTTCCGCCCTCCTGCCCCAGCGCGAAATGCTTCGCGGCTCGAACTGTTTCGCGCCCCCGCAGTAGCAGGCTGTTCCGCCCCCCGGCGCAGCGCAGCAACCGAAAAAGGGGACCTCAAGAGGTGCCAGAGAGAGCAGAATGCCATTAGATACATTTGCGCGCATTGTCGCTCCAGTTGGCACTCAAGCACCAAGAAGATCCGAGGGAGCCAGTACGATTGGGCACGGCACACAAACACTGCAGGGCACGGCACGGCAGCCGAGCATGAACAAAAGGGTCGGCGGATGTGGCGTAAGCCTGAAGGTTCATGATGCCGACCACAAGGCGGCTCCGAGAGGCCCTCAAGATGGCCTCCGAAGGGGCCAGACGGCGCAAACGCGCCCCAAGACTGCCCAAGAGGCTCCAAAGAGGCCCCCAGGAGCCCCCAAGAAATCCCCCAAGAGGCCCCCAAGAAGCCCCCAACGGCCCCAAGAAACCACCAAGAGACCCGCGGATTTGTATCCGGATGGCGCGTTGTTGCTATGCTCATCGGACTTTGAACTTGGCGTTGCCTTGTGCTGACAAGCGGTGAATGCACATTGCCATCGTCGTGGACATTCATACGCTCGTCCCGGCACTGACTGAAAGGAGGGGGGCGCATATCTGCCCCCCGTGGCGCTCTCGCAGCGCCCTGGGGCGGGCAGAACGACCCTGAGAACAGCGCGGCAGACGAGCAGGGCAAACCACCCCACGCCCAGTCTTTACGTGCTCCAGAGGTGCACCCCGCGAAACGAAATGACACACAATAAGTATACTGTCCAAGAATATGCAAGATTCCCCAAGATCTCCAAGATGCCCACGGGCTCCGCAAACGAGCTCAAGAACTCCTGTAACGTATCCCGAGCCAATCGAGTCACGGCATCATCCCAGCCCTGCAGAAGACTCCCTGGCCCTCTCAGAATGAAGGGGCCCTGAGACACACAAATGAATACACACAAATAAAAGGATTCCCAATATTTCCCATATGTTCTGGGTTTTTGTCTTCCCCCCCACTTCCCATATTTTCCCATATTTCCTGGGGAATCGACGATTAATTGTGTCTGTGTTGTTTCCCCTCCTCTCAGAAGGCCGCCCCCCACCCTTCGCGACGCCCCCCCTCCTTCCCGGTGGGATCAGAGGATCGAGCCACATCGGCGATGCATCGGCCATGCACTGGCGACGTCGGCGATGCATCGGCGGCGTCGGCGTGGAGAAAATTTGGCCCCCCATCGAGCCGCATCGCCTATGCATTGCCGATGCATCGGCGCCTGAAAGAATGCCGATGCATCGGCAGTGCGGCGCGATCCTCCGACCCCGTCTGCTCTTTGTAAGGCAAGGCGTCGGATTGTGCAAAGAGAGCGCCCCCCTGTAGCTGCCGATACCGATGACGGTTGTTTCCAGCACTGGTTTTTCGAAACATAGGACCGGCGATTATCCTGTCTGGCTGCGTGAGCGTCGGTTAACAGACCAACGTTCACTTCATCTAGCAAGGCAGAGCCTCAAGCGCGAACATGGGGCGCACGGGTAAGGCAACGATGCCAAAACCAATGCGTGCTCACAATTGCGACAGAAGTGCGATGTACTTGCCCTGGTGCGCGCACTGCTTGCATGCGAAAGTGGTGAGGAAGCTGCGCGGGCGCAAGAGGCACACAGTGCGCGCGTGTGTGCCTGTATTGAGGCGCGCTTCTTGCGCGCAAAGGCATTGACGTCGCATGTGCTGGCGTGGTCCAGGAGCTAATGCGCATGCGAAATGTCGGGCCCGTGGCGTCTTGTCGTCAGCGCCGTCGGATGCGCATTCGAGAAAGTGTTCGCTCATCGGCTTGCCTGTTTCATTTTCAACGTTTCTTGCTGTGTGCGTGGATTCGATGCGCACGCTCTGCGCGCACGCGCGTGTTGGGTTTAGTGGTGTTTTTGGTGTGGTAAGGGGATTTGAGGCGCGCAAACATGAGGCGCCGTGGCACGTGGCATGAGTCTGGGCAGTGGCTGGTGCCACATGTTGCTGCCGCTCCTTAACGAACCACGCAAAATGCAAAAACGATACGCGTACCTTGTGTATGAAACTGGGCACGCTGTGATGCAACGCGTTTTGGAGATGAACGCCATCTGGCTGATGAGTCCCACCAGCCCTTGAGTGCGTATGTCGTCTAGAGCGGTTCCTCTTCCAAACCCCTTCTTCCCTTCCGGGAGGGGTTTACCCCTCCCACTACCCCCTCCCCTGGACCTGGACGGGGGGGCGGGGGGCGCGAGGTGTCAGAGCGTACTTGTTCGCCCAAGACGGCTCCAAGAGCGCCTCAAGGAACTCAAGACGATTTCCAAGATGGCTCAACATAGCCTGAAATGCTTCGAGATGGCTCCCAAGATGCTCCAAGAGGCCCCAAGAACGTTCCAAGATGGCTCCAAGAGGCCTCCGAGACCTCCAAAGGGCCAATCAACATGAGAAAATGATGCATTTTTGCTTTCTCGCATTTTCGCTTCCGATAGCCTTGCGAGGCCTCAAGATGGCTCCAAGATGGCCCAAGAGGGCCCCAAGAGAGGCCCAAGAATGCCCAAACACGGCCCCAAGAGCGCCCAAGAACGCTCCAAGAGCGCCCCAAGAGGGGTCCTAGAAACGGTTTTGGGGGCTCCCGAAGGGGAGCGCGAATTGGGGACCCCCCCGGCTAAGCCCTCCTCTGGCCCCAAAGACGGCACAGACGGGCCCCACACAGCGACAACAGACCTCCAATATGGGGGTGAAGAGGGGCCCGAGAAGGGCCTAAGACATCCTACATCATACCAACAGCCCCTGGTGCGATGTCGTTGGCCCAGCTGGGGGCCCTCGCTCGGCCCCAAAGATGGCCCAGGACGTCCCCAGACGACCCCAAGAGAGTTCCAAGAGATGCCCCGAAGGGCTCCGGAGAGGCCCCAAAGGGCCCCCCATCGTTGGGGGGCGCTGGTTGTGGGCCCTCTGGTGGCCCTCCTGGGCATTCTCGGGGTCCCTTCCCCAACCCCATAGAGGGCACTGTAAGGCCCTAGACACCACCAACGGAGTTTCGAGGAGGGGCCCAAAAGAGTGAGCGAGAGGGGCAGAAAAGGCCCCCATGGATATCATACGTACCAAAAGCCCTTGGTATGATACCGTTGGGGGCCGCCTTGTGAGCACCCTTGGGGCCCCGCTGGGCCTCATTGAAGCCCTCCACTGGCTCCAAAAACGCACCAGGAGAGCCCCGCACAGCCCCAACGGAACTCCCAAGAGGGCCCCCCAAAAATGTGCCCCAGGGATATCCCTGCGAACACCTTTCGGCCCACAGTTGTCCCCGTCTCCCTGCGAGCAGACCCCTCTGCCCAGGCTTTAACATGATGTGCGGGACCGCCGTCCCGACGCAGCCGACTTGTACGGTCGTTACCCGTACACGCGATCATGCAACGACGCCCGGGACATTGTTCGAACATCGAAAAAATGTTCGAACACCGGAACGTTGTTCGAACATTGCGTGGTTGTTAGCTCTAGTACAAAAACAAGATGTACAGAAATGTTCGAACACCAAAAAATCGTTCGAACACCGGAAAATTGTTCGAACAACGGAAACGAGTGTTCGAACACCGAAAATTGTTCGAACACCGAAAACGTGTTCGAACACCGGAAAAGTGTTCGAACACGAAAACGATTGTTCGAACACCAGAGAAATTGTTCGAACACGAAAACATGTGTTCGAACATTGGATTTTTCGATCACCTAAACAATGCACCTCGCATAAATCCAACCAGTCCCTGGGTGTGTGACGTGGTTCAGAGAGCTTCGTCTTCCAACTTCTCATAACCCCCATCTCCCGACTCTCTCCCCATGGACCCCCTGCAGTACGCTGCAGAGTTCCTCCTGCAAAGACCCTGCAAAGACCATTGCATGACCTGCGAAAGAACCATGCAAAGACCCTGCGAAGACCCTCCGGTGAGTCCTTGGTCGAACCCCGTCTGAAAGAGTTCGGCGGGATGCTTGCTAGTACGTGCCTTCTTGGGGCCTCTTGGAAGCCTATGAAGCCCCAGTGAGCCCCAAGATGCCCGAGGAAAACCCAAGAAGGGCCCAAGAGGCACCGAATCCGTGACATGTTGCTTTACGTGTTTCGGAACGTCGTCACGCACCGAGTCCGTGACGCATCGCCCCAAGAGCCCCCAAAGCTCCCAAAGGGTCGCCTCCAAGAGAGCCCCCAAGAGGCTCCCAAGAGATCCCCCATTCCCCCGAGAGACATCCCTCCAGGAGGCTCTCATGTTCGTCATTTTTTCTCATCCTCCTCCTCCTCATCCCCCCTCCTTCTCCTCCTCCTCTTCCTCCTTCTCCTCCTCCTTATCCGCCTACCCAATCCCTCCTCTCCCTCCCCCACCTCCTCCATCCTCCTCTCCTCATCATATTCATCATCCTTCTCCCTCCTCCCTCATCCATCCATCCTCCTCCTTCTCCTCCTCCTCCTCCTTCGAACGGTTCGGCTGTCCCTCTCTTTGCTCCTACACTTCCCTCATCACCTCAACTCGCCTGGGCGTCGCTTCTGGATGGGCTGGTGGAGAGCGGACAGTAGGCGCGAAACGTCAAGAATTTCCTTGATGGGCCCTCGCGCTAAATGGTCAGCCGAAAAGCAGCTCAACGGCGTGGAAATTCACTCGTCTGCTCGCGGCGGCGTCATGGTCGCCCCTCGGCGGGCACCGAAACCAAACTAATGAGGATCCGGGGGAGGTGGAGAGGCGGGATACGGAGGGATGAACGAACAGGGCGAGGTGCAGGAGGGGAAGAGGGCGACACGCAGGAATAAGTACAAAGGCACGGGTTGCATATGTTTTCCAGCGCGCGCCCCGAAACAGTGAGCTAGTGCGTGCAGTATGTGCCATATACGAAGCGCAACGCAGGCGGTGCAATTTCGGCGTTGTCATCTAAGCGGTTCAACTACTGTGGTGCAACCTACGTTGTATATGTTGCACCCCCAGGTTGCGCCTTGGGTTGCGCCAGAGGTTGCGGCATGGCCATATGATGCGCCGTGGGTCGCCTCGTCGATTGCGCCATCGGCCATAGGGGTGGGCTCGGGCGCGAACGTGGCGGAACCTCGCCCGACCCATCCAATGTGTTGTGCCGTATGCTGTGCCTAAAATTGCGCCATAAGGGCGGACTCTGGGGCGAACGAAGCGAAATCCTCTCAATATGTTGCGCTATAAGTTCCGCCGTAAGGTCAGGGCGGGCGCGGGCGCGAACGTAGAGAAACGTCGCCCGACCCATCCAACTACTTAGCAACGCGAGTACGACCCCACTAACTGAACGCACGGATTGGAGGACTGTCCCACGAGTCGGCACGCGCGCGCGAAGCGCATCTACGGCTGACGCCCTTCGCGAGGACTGGGCCGTCCAATCTGCGACATCCGCCAAGCCCAATGCTTGAGCTCAAGGCCGCGGGGGACTTACGATAACTGGTTATCCAAAGATGCGAAACACCCGTGGTGCTAGCGCCCGTGATCGAGGCTCCCGGTGTAGTCCTGGCTGGTCTCAGCAGGCCCCCCGGGTAGTGCGGAGCGGTCCCAACACCTCAACACTGGGGCGCTCCGCGCCCCAGGAGCGCCCCTGGAGGCGGCGCCAAGGTGTTGAGACCGCCCCGCACTACTCGGGGGGCCTGTTGAGGCCAGCCGGGACTGCCTGGATGGGCTGTCTTTGCACACGCCGAAGCCTGAGCATCCACCATTACCCGATTCGGGCGCCAGGGGGACTGGGTTTAGTGGGACCTAGTTTAAAGATGTGTACTGGGGGACGCTCCCCTCCCCGCCCCCCCATTCCACTCACCGGAACTGCCGCCACCCGAATAACACCGACTACGGCAATTTGTTTCAGTGATCCTGGCCAATTTTGAGGGCTCTGGCTCCCAATCACTAACTGGCTCCCCTAGATGCCTCCTAGATGGGGTCCGAGTAGATGGGGTAGGAGAATCTCTCTGCATCGCCGATACATCGGCGATGCATCGCCGATGCATCGGCGATGCATCGGCCATGCACTGGCGACGTCGGCGATACATCGGCGGCGTCGGCGTGGAGAAAATTGGGCCCCGCATCGAGCCGCATCGCCGATGCATTGCCGATGCATCGGCATGTGGCGCGATTCTCCGACCCCATCTACTCCAACCCCATCTAGGAGGCTTAGATCCCTTCACCCAGGATCTTGGCAATGTCTAACCCATCCGGTCGTAGACCCTCCCGCCGCACCCCCCCCTTCATTCCCGCGCGCCGGCCGGCTCCTTCTCGCCATCGGCGGCCAGCCTGCCGCCGTAGGTGGCCACCAGGCGCCTGATCCGCTCGTGGAGTCCCTCGGACCAAGTCGCTTGGACGCGGCACTTCAGCATGCCCTTCGCCAAGAGCTTGTTCCGCCGCTCCTCCAACAGAAAACGGACAACATCTAGAATTAGGTCGGGCATGTCCCCCTACAGGCGGATTCTGAAAACGATAAACAAAAAAGTACACCCAAAATATTCAGAAATATTCAAAGTAATTTAAAACTACCATTTTTGAATACTCCTCGGAGAGGAAGCCCGACTGAAATCTAGAAACGCAACCTTCTGGAACTCTGCGCGCCGGCGCTGGGCCCCCCTGACAGCACCTCCGGCGCCCCCCTTTTCCTGGCACGCTCCGCGCGCCAGGGAGGGCCCTGGAGAAACGAAAAAAAAAACGACCCCGCTGCTACCTGGGTAGTCGAAGCCAATCTGGCGCCAATCTGGCAGGCCCAATCTGGCAAACGGGGGCAATCTGGCGAGGGAGCCAACGCGAATCCAGTCTGGCGAATAACCCAAATCCTCCAATCTGGCCAGGCCAGATTGGCCTTTGGGGCCCAATCCAGTCTGACAGTCTGGCCTTCGACTACCCAGGCCGCCTGGAACTCACCCGGTGTGTGCGCTCCGACTGGGACTTGGAAGCGAAGCCAGCCGTGGCGACGAAGGCCTCCAAAGGAAGCCCTGACAACGACATCGGGCCAAGGGCAGCTCGGAGGCGATATCCGCCCAGCCTCCTCCTCCTCCTCCTCCTCCTCCTCCTCCTCCTCCTCCTCCTCGAAAGCGTTCCAGCGCTGATGCCGGAAATCCGCGGCGAGCCTTCGAAAGTGAACTGCTGGTGATGCTGCTGTTTTTCTCCTTCGATCCTCGCGAGCGAGGCATTCCTGGACCCACGACTTCAGCGTGCCGAGCACGCCCTCCAGCAGGTCCTTTTCTCCCGCCTCCTTCAGCCTGTCAGCGCCGCCCAAAAGAAGAAGCTGCCATGCATCATCATCAACATCATCATCATCGCCACCACCATCGTCATCACCATCATCATTACGAGCATCCGATTCACCACCCAACCCATCAATATCATCACCGTCGCCGCAATCATCGCCATCATTACTATGATCGTCGTGATCATCGCCATACCCACCACAGCCACCGCCATCACAATCACCAACAATCATCAAATATCAACCATCATCGTCGTCATGGCACCACCATCAATATGACCATCACATACCGAATCAAAGTTGTTGCCGTCGTCTCCTCCGTCGTCACCATCAAGATCATCACCAACACAAGCATCAGTTTCATCATCATCAGCAGCAACATCATCACACGCCATCGCCATCGCCATTGTCGTCATCATCGCTGTCATTATTACAATCGCCATCGCCATTACCATCGTCATCGGAATTGCCGCCATTGTCATCCCCCTCATCTTCTTCATCATCAGCACCGTTACCCGGCCCCCTTCTTCAGAGGGTATGTGTAAAGTTAACAGCGACGCTGACATAGCTGCGGCGAAACAACCTGGGCCACTTCGAAGCCCAGGAAGCAGGACAACTTTCACACATAACATCCACCGCGCGGCATTGCGGGAGTGCCGACACATTCGGGGAGCGGGGCGCTTTTGCAAAGGAAAGGCACCGGGCCGCGAAAAACTTGAGTAACAACTGCTGCGCTCAGGAGAAACCGCATTGCGACAGGGCGCAATCAAACCCGCGCACGCGCATCCACCACTGGGCCCCATTATCAGAATGAGGGGATATGTCAAACGTGCTAGCGACGCAATCGACACTGCGACAAAAAGGCCTGGGCCACTTCGAAACCCAGGGTGCACGAAAACGCTTTCAAAAACCATCCCATAACAAGGTGCTTTCTGGCGCATCCCAGATCGCAGAAAATTCACCCCATTTGGTTTCAAGACAGCTTTCTCTGACAGCTAGCGCTTGAGCACCTAATTCCATTTAGGAGGGCAACGCTGGGCGATGGCCGCCCACCTCTGGCCGCCCCCGCAAGGGGAAGCGGGGCTGGTTCATGCCGGAGCATGTGCCTCGCTGGCCACGGCATCGAATGGCTGCGAACTGGATGTCTGGACCCTGCAGGCGCATGGCGCCGACCACGACGCGGGTCCTCCTGCGCCAGCGAGTCCCCATTTACAACAAAAAACTCGCTGGCACCAGGGCGCTGCAGCATTGACTGGACCCGAGGGGCGGGCCGCGCTGCTGCTAGTTAAGGGGGCCCTCCCAGGCCCAAGGAACGCGAAAAGCACTGAGACGCCGAATGGTATGATAGCTGGCGCGGAGGCCGGCGCCGCCTTCCTCGACATTTTTGCTCGCCGCCCGCGGGCGGGCAAACAAGTCAGCATCGGGCGGGGCCAGGCGCGCGACTATCACCTCGCCCATTTGATCGGGGATGGACAGACCCCCTTTAACAAAACGTGCTTTAGTGAAAACGACCTCGGGCCCAAACCTGGCGGGCGCGAGCCTGGAAAATAACAGCCACAGCGCCCTCTCGAGAACCGAAAACGGACAATCCACTTATCGACGCGTCACTCTTGGGGGTTCTGTCCACCCCCGATTTGAATCACGCGCGTCTCGTCTGCCGTACTTTGGCCGGGCGAGAACGGGAATGCTCCTCCTGGCCACGCCTCCGAAGCTGAGGAAAAGATCTCGGACCCCCCCCCCGCGCGCCGCGGCGGCGGGCAGCCCGCGACGCTGGCGCCGAGGACATTCTCCACGGCGGGCGCCTCGCAGACCTCGCCCCGATACTGTCGCGCCTTGAGGCGCCCCGTCACCCGGCGGCCGAGGCGCGCCGCCGCTTGGAGCCCACCCGCCCGCCGCGCGCGGCCCCAGAAGCCCGCGGCGCCGAAAAAGCGGGGGCGGCCGAACTCGGCAGCGCCCCGGAACTGGGCCCCCCCGCCCCTTCCGCGTTACCCCGCGCGGGGCGCCGAGCGCGGAGCGGGCCGCGGCCGGCCCTCCGCGCCAGGCGCGCCGGCGCAGAAATCTCAACCGTCTCCGCGTCGGCGGGCGCGGCGCCGGCCGACGCGGGAAACGACGCGCGCCGCCCCGCGCGCGACGCCGTCGCCCCCCCCCCCCCGCCGGCGCCTGGAGCGGGGAATAACCGTTGCTCGCCGTGGCGCCGCAGAGAACGCTGCCGCCCCAGCGCCCCTGGCCCCCCTCCCGCGCGAGGTCGCCGAGGCCCCCCGCGGGCATCGCCTGCCCCGAAAGACGCCGCGAGCTTTGCGACGAGCGGCGGCGACCGAGCTGAGCATTCTCCGCCCCTGGCCAAGTAGCCATCGCGTGAATGCGCATCATTCAGCCGGCAATGCGCTTGGCCATAGCACGGGCGGCGTCGACCGCCGCCGCCCTCAGGGCCGACGGCCAGAGGGGGCAGCGGGCGATCATGGAGAGACCCAGGTAGCATGAGCCCACGCGTCTGCCGAAGAAGACCGCGTCTCCGAGACGGCTTATCGGCCGCGATCCACTCTGCGGGCATCCAGCTGATGGCAAGGCGCATCTGTCTCGCAAGGCAAATGGCGCACCAGTTTGCGACCCGGGCCAGCATCGCCAACGCCCAGGAACAGCCCCGCTTCAGAGGTAGCACCACGTCTAGATCGTAGATGGCCACCGAGGCAAATCTCACGCACGCCTGCCCCCGGCAGGGCGCGAGCGAAACAATGGGGCATTGCCGCCGCGGCCCGGGTCTCAAACAGAACGATGAGCTCAGTCGGCTTCCACCGACCTCGAATAGACACTCGCCAGTCGGCTTTCTGCGGCAGGCGCCGGGGGGCGCCGGGGAGAACGACGGCGCCCTCAAGACCCCCCCAAGGAAGACAGCCGAAGTCGCCCTCAAAACCCCAGCCCCGATCGCTGAAAGGAGCGCCCCCTCGCGGCCGACGATGATAGATGACGCGCGGATCCCTCGCGGGCCCGCCCATGCCGGGCTGCCCTCGCAAATCCCACCGCGTCGCGCAGCTGCCCAGGCCGCGCTCGCTGGTCGCTGGGTCGCCGGCGTCGACAACGCCGCCCCTGGGGGTCTCCGAAGAGTCGGCCAGCAGCGGTAAGGGCCCCACACAACGCGCGCATTCAGCTCTGACTGACGGCCGCATCAGCACCAGCCCGCGCGGTCGGGCTCGCGCGAACTTGCACGCGGCGTGGAAGACCGAAATCGTCTGCCTTGCGAGGAGGTCCACGCTGGCGCAGTGACTGACGCGCACATCAACCGCGCGCTCTGATCTTGCCGAGCCAGCAGCCAGCGAAGCCCAGCGTCCATCCTCCAGCAGCAATTGCGCATGAGGCGGGCCTCCTGGCTCGTAGCGCTGAGCCCCACTCCGAGGCGTGGCCCCGACGTTCTCTGGGCGCCCCCCTGAAGGTACCGCGAGTTGGCCCCGCTGAAGGAGTCGCGCGCCCCCGGAATACCGACGGCGCGCTGGGCGGGAGCGGTCGGCCCCGGGGCCCCAGGGCGTCGACGCGGGCGCAGTGGGCCGCCGGCGAGCCCTTTCTCCAAGGGCCGCGCCCATCGTTCCGAGGGCTCAGGCCGCGATCCCTGCGGCGACCCCCGAGATGCACGCTGCCCCTTGACCGCCGGTGCAACCGCGAGGCCACAGCTGACGGCCATTGGGAAAGCGGCCGAGGGCCAAGCTGCCCGAGATCTTCGGGGCCCCTCGCCTCGCCCCAGGCCAGCAGCCCACGTCGGCGGAGGGGGCGAAGCAAAATTTCCCGCAATCTCATCGCGCATCCCCAGTCTGCGGACGCAATCAGCAACGTCGACTCGCGCCAGGTAGACGCCGTCAACCCTCTTGTCCGCCTCGATCCGGCCGAGGACCTCGGCAGCGCAGAGCTGGGCCCCTGGCGGGGGCTCGGAGAGCTAGTTCGCCGCCCCGCCATCCGCAATGAGCCGAAGGGCCCCGCTCTCTATCACGGCGAAGAGAGCATGAGACACTTAGGCGACTTGGTCCAACATGTGGCTAACCTTCGACCGCGCGGACGTACCGTGCGCCAACGCAGCCGGGGGCGCGGCTCCAAGCGGCGACCCACGCGCGGCCCCCCAGCCGTGAAAATTTGATTCAGCTCGCCCACCTCCTCGGCACTCCGCCGACGCCGTTCGACGAGGCCCTCGAGCAAGTCGCGGGCGCGCGCCCCGCGGGGCCCGACCTGCGCGCCTCGAGTCGCGGACACTGGCCAGCAAAGGCGCCTTGCCCTCCTCGCAGTAGGGCGCCGCTGCCACGCGCGCTTTGCCGCGCGCCGACTCAGCTCGGAGCGGCGCGGGAGCGGCCCCCTCCTGCGGGGCGCCCTGGACGGGGCCCCCCCTGGCTGCGAGCGGCCTTTTGCGCCGTCGCTTGGATCTCGCCGCGCGACCGAGCCGCGGCGCCAGAAGCTCGATGCCCTCCAGCTTCGTCACCGCAGCCAGACATTCAATGCGAAGCTTGCAAAACCTCGCCAGCCCCGCTGTCCAAATCGCGCCGAAGCCCCACCCGCCGACGAACTCCCCAAGGGGCTCGGGGCACAGGCGGCTCGGAAGAAACAGCGGCGCACGGGGAATCTCTTCGGGGTAGAACGAAGAGCTCGGAGTCGGGCAAGGCCACATGGGGGCTTGCCCAGGGGGTCAGGCGGGCCCGAACGCTGCCCCTCGGGCCCAGGGCGCGCCAGTGGCCGCTGGCATAAATCACGCGCTGCTGCCCCTTCTCGCCAAGGCCCGACCGACGCTCCGACGGCACCGTCAGCGCGAAGGCGTCGGCGGCAGCTGTTGCCGAACCCGCGGCCCTGGGCGGCGGCCGCGGATTTGCGGGGCGCGCGGCGGCCAGGACGAGCGGGCCACTCATCGCCTGGAACGCCTGCTGCGCGCGCACGGCCAGCTCGACTCGACTCGACGCCTAGCAGCTCGCGCGCGGCCGCTCATCGCCCAGCCCACTGTGGCGGCCGGGGGCCCACCCTCTTCACTGGCAATCGAGGTCGGCTCGAACTCGCCGGCCCGAAGATTGGGGGGGCATGCGCGGTCGTTCGCGCCAACGACGGCGAACCCCACCGCTGGCCCTTCAGCCGCTATAATTCAAGCAAGAATTGGCAGCAGGTCGCTCTGTGCCACCGGCTCCACGACGTGCGGTTCGGACCCCGCGCTCTCGAGGTCGCCCCTAGCCTCTAACCCCGTCGCGATCTCGACGGGCGGCCGCGATGAACGTCTCCGATTCGATATCCACGCAGGGCGCTAAGGGCTTATCGCCCAGCAGTGAGGTGGAGTGGCCCTGGAGCACCTCCACCTTCGACGAATCAGGGACCTCCTGCGCCCGCAATCGGCCAGGGCTGGTGCCCACGGCGGCCGCCCCCACGGAAACGGTTCCCACGGCGGCGACCCCCACGGCGGTTACCACAGAAGTGGCTCCCATGGTGGCGCCTCGCACGGCTCCCACGGCGGCGGTTCCCACCGCGTCGACTCCTCGAGGCGGGCCCCCCCAGCTGCCACCGCGGCGATCGTGGCGGCAACCCCCACGACTGCGGTTCCCACGACGGCCGCTTCCACGCGGATGCGACTCCCACAACGGCACCTCCCACGGCGGCGGTTCCCACGGAGGCGGGCCCCACGGCGGCAGCTCCCATGGCGGTTCCCGAAACGGCGGTTCCCACGGCGGCTCCCGCGGGGCGGCTCCCAAGGTGTCGGTTCCCAGGCCAGCGGCTGCCACAGAAGCGGTTCCCACGGCGGCGCCTCCCGTGGTTCCCAGTCAGGCGGCTCCCCCGGCGGCGCCACCCACGGCGGCGGCCCTCAAGGCGGTCCCTGTGGAGGCGACTCCTGCGGTGGCGGTTCCTGCTGAGGCGGTTCGTACGCGCGGCGGTTCCCACGGAGGCGGCTCCTACGCACCGAAGGGCGGCTCCTACGGCGACGGGTTCCGCTCGGCGGTTCATACGCAGGCGGCTCCCACGCGCGGCGAATCCTTCACTGGCGAAGCGCCAAACAACCATAGACGAACTCTACGACGACAAGTAGGCGCTCGACCAGGCAGAGAAATGGCGGCTCCCACAGGCGGTGACTCCCTCGCGGATGTTCCCGCCTTTGGGCGATGGCGCCCGTGGGCCATCATCGTTTCGGTTCCTCTGGGCATGTGGTGCCTGGGACAAGTCGCCTCCGACCGCCTCGCAGGTGTTGCGGCAAGTGACGGGGTGCAGCAAAACTCGCCGCGGTGCACTGCCAGGTTCAGGATGGTGCTGCACACTAGCATAGTCGGCTCCCCACCAGTGCCCACGTAGACGTCAATTGTCCTCCAACACACGCGCGGCCATAAATCAACATCATCATCATCATCATCAGCATCATCATCATCATCATCATCATCATCATCATCATCAGCATCAGCATCAGCATCATCATCATCATCATCATCATCATCATAATCATCATCATAATCATCATCAGCATCATCAGCATCAGCATCATCATCATCAATCATCATCATCATCATCATCAGCATCATCATCATCATCATCATCATCATCAACAACATCATCATCATCATCATCATGAGCATCATGACCACCACCACCACCACCACCTCCACCACCACCACCACCACCACCATCATCATCATCATCATCATCAGCATCATCATCAGCATCATCATCAGCATCACCATCATCATCAGCATCATCATCAGCAGCAGCAGCAGCATCGTCACCATCAGCAGCAGCAGAATCACCATCACCATCATCATCACCATCTACATCACCATCACCATCATCGCAACCATCATCATAATCATCAGCAGCATCATCACCATCACCATCACCATCACCATCACCATCACCATCATCATCATCATCATCATCATCGTCATCATCATCATCAGCATCAGCATCACCATCGTCATCGTCATCGTCATCATCATCATCATCATCGTCTTCATCACCATCATCATCACCATCATCACCATCATCACCACCATCGTCATCTTCGTCATCAGCATCAACACCATCATGATCAGCATACTACTAATCATCATCATCATCAGCATCAGCATCAGCATCATCATCATCATCGTCGTCGGCATCATCATCGCCATCATCATCACCATCATCATCATCAGCATCATCATCAGTCAATCATTATTGCTCAGCCTCACCATCGCCATCACCATCGCCATCACCACCACCATCACAATCGTCAGCATCATCCGCACCAGCATCAGCATCCTAATCATCGTCGCAATCATCGTCAGCATCAGCGTCAGCACAACCATCTTCATGCGTCGTCATGTTCATCCTCATTATCATCTTCATCCTCAACGGCAACAGCATCACGCTCATCATCATGGTCACCACCAGCACCACCCTCATCAGCATGATCAGCAACATCATCATCACCATTGTCATTGTCATCAGCATCAGCATCAGCATCATGATCATCGTCATCATCATCATGATCAGCATCAGCATCATCACCATCATCATCGTCATCATCATCATTGTCATTGTCATTGTCATCATCATCGTTGTCATTGTCATCATCATCATCATCCTCATCACCATCATCGTCGTCATCATCATCAATCGGAGGGCCGCGCGGACTTCTTGGATCGGCACTGGACCCTCCTCCCTGGCCTGCGCAGCGCCCCAGGCTCGGCGCCAGAGGCGCCGCCAGGGGGGGGGGGGGGGCAGCGCCCAGCGCCGACCCAAAAATTCCTCCCCGACCTCCCAGAGCTTCGTGCTCATGCCGTTCATGCTGTTCTTCGGTGGCGGGCGAGGGGGGCCCGGCGCTGACCCGAGAAATCCCCGCGGAGCTCCGAGGCCTGGTGGGCATCATATCGTCTCTGCTCTTCGACAGGTGTGTCCATAAACCATCTCTCTGCGAAGAAGTCCTGACAGCACAGCCGGAAACTGCGACAGGAATCTCTGAATGACAGAAGCGTGAAACACCCGAGCCCGAGCCACACGATGGCATTTGGACGAGGCGCGGCTGCCAGTAATGCAGCAAAGGTTGTCTTCGATTCCCAACTTATACCCGACGTGTTCTTCGACAGAGGCGGACAGTCGGGGAGACGTAAGACTCGGGTACTGGGGACTCGGGTTGGCCTGACAGGGCCATCATAAAAATGACGAGACCCCATCTGAAATTTGACGCGAGCTCCCGCTGCAAACAGCCCACGGAAACTGGACCGTCAAAATCCAGGACGCGCTCGTCAAAAAGCGTCGGAAAACCCGAGTTCCAGACAGGGCGAGCACGACGGCCCGCCGAGGATGCACAGGGGGGCTGCGTCTCAGCAGGGCGCCCGCCCCTTCCCTGAAAGCTTCGGCTGGCAGTCTCCCGCAGGGAGGCACGAGGGCTCCCGGGCGGCGCGCGGTGCTGTCGGGAGAGCCCCCCCCCCGATTGAGGGGAGAGGATACGGCGGGCCCCGCTAAGGTTAAGTCGGGCGTGTCCCCGTACAGGGGGATTTCGAGCGAAAAATGGAAATAGTAGAAAAAACGTTCCAAAATGGTCAAAAATGGCGAGAAAACAAATACTTCCCAAACTATTTTTTGACCATTTTTGAACATTCCCCCTGTAGAGGGACAGGCCCGCCTTAAGGCCAAGGCGGTGGGGGGGGGGGGGACATCGGACTGGACTCGGCGATACATCTCCAATGGATGTCCCCGATAGCTGAAATCCCAGAAGTCTGCGCGGAGCTCCCAATGTTTGTGTGGATGCCGATGTCTTCTTCTACGATAGGGGGGCCACCTCAGGGGCGGTGAGCATCGAGCTGCAATCGGCGAGCACTAGACAAGTACATCGCCGTAGACAAGCCCCCGATAGCGAATCCGCACGCTCCTCAGCGGGGTGGGGCCAGAAGGCCCTTACCGGCGATGAATGGGCGACTGGGGCCCGATGCATGCTTCGATGGCAGGAGAGGAGATGGGGACCGCGCGACCACTGAATCTCACTACTGCGTGACCGGCACAGTAGCGTGAAGAAGAAGATCGCCAGGCAAACTAGGATCGCTGTACGAGCCGACCTGCCATCGGCAAGCTCCTGCGATAAACTGTAGCCTGTAGCAATCCCCGCTGAGCCCACAGCCCATCTCCCGCGGACGCTGCCCCGGAAGGTCCTCTCCTGAAGGCAGGAAGGTTCACGAGCAGCGCGCGGCATGCCCTCTCGTGCGAGCGCCCCCGCCCCCAAAGCCCTGACGCTTCCAAACCCGCCCCGAGCACTCCTAGGGTAAGACAAAGCCAGGACGAGGATAAACTCGGATGAGGATAGATCGAGAGCTTCTGAGATCTGGCGGCTCTGGAAGATGTCTCGGGCGCCTCGGCCTTCTCAGAGCGTTCTGGAACGGATTTATACTAGTCCTAGCCCCGTCCGCAAGGGCCGGCAAATCTCCCAACAACGCCCCGCGGCCCTCAATCGGTCGATCGACCCTCGATCATCATTCCTCCATCCACGATCTGGGGGACACCAACAAATGCCGATACCGATGCTCCCTGGACCTCTCCCGGGCTGCGATCTGACCAGGGTCTCGAGGCGAGACCAGCCGCGGCGCCGAGGACCTCCCACGGGACCCACAGAGGCGGCAACGAGGCAAGGGCATCGGTATCGGCACCTGATCCTCGATCCTCGCTCGAACGGCCGATCGATCCTCGAGCGGTCGATCCTCGATCGATCGATCCTCGGTCGATCCTCGATCGATCCTCGATCCTCGATCCTCGATCCTCGATCGATCGATCGATCCTCGATCGACCGATCGACTCTCGATCGGTCGATCGGTCCTCGATCGGCCGAGCGGTCCTCGGCCGGCCGATCGGCGAACGCTGGCGGTGGCGGAGCCTCGTCTCCGCCCGGATCGCGGCGGCGCCCTGCTGCGCCAGCGGGGTGAAGAGCTGCAGCCTCTCCTGCGGGGGGCGAGAGCGCGCTGCGGTCGAGCCTGCTCTGGCCATCGCTCGGACGTCCACTCCCTGTGCATTTTGCCGGTGTCGTGCGTGGCTTTTTCGCCAAACGATCAAGGATGCTCCTCGGTGGTCCTCGCCGAAGAAAAAACGCACACGTCCGAGCGATGCAAAGTGCGTGGGGGGGGCACGCAGGCGACGGAGAGAAACGGGCATCACGCCGAGATGCCATAGCGATCTTACGCGGCGGCTCACGCGGGCCACCAGCGAGGCACGCTGCATCAGAAACGAGGGCGCTCACGCGCGACCTGCCGCGGGCAGCTTGCGCGACAACGTCCGCGCAGATGACCCCATGTTTTGGCGTCGCTCACGTGAGAGGGGACTAGAGGCCTCCTAGATGGAGTCCGCGTAGATGGGGTCGGAGGATGGCATCGCATCGCACATGCATCGGCGCTGCATCGGCGAATGTCGGTGATACATCGGCGACGTCGGCGTGACAGAAGTCGGGCTCAACATCGAGCCGCGTCGCCGATGCATCGGCGATGTGGCGCGATGCTCCAATCCCATCTACTCGGACCCCATCTGGGAGGCCTAGACGGAAGCAAGACCCTTCCGAGGGTCACACTGCCCCGGAAATGCAAAAGGCATGGGCCGCGAACACACAGACCACGAAAGCACCCTTGATCTTGAAGGCTCGATCTAGTAGTCTGGGTAGTCGTAGCCAATCTGGCACCAATCTGTCAGGCCCAATCTGGCAAACGGGGGCAGTCTGGCGAGGGAGCCAACGCGACTGCAGTCTGGCGAATAACCCGAATCCTCCAATCTGGCCAGGCCAGATTGGCCCCTGGGGCCCAATCCAGACTGCCAGTCTGGCCCTCGACTACCCAGGCTGGTCAGACTCGCCAGTGCAGACCGAGACAACCCTGCACAAGCACGCAGCTTCGGACCCCCTCGCGGGTAGCCTGGGCCCCCGCCCTCCGCGCCTCGGGCGCCGTCCCCGGCGCGCCCGAGGCGCGCTGGGGAGGGGGGGGGGGGCCGGCGGAGATCCAAGCTATGCGCGCGGAGCTCCGAAAGGGTTTCTGTCTGCCGACGTGTCTTCCTCTGCGATAGGGGGGGGGAATCTATTGCATCCTCGGGGAACCTTGTCTGTCCAACCGCGGCCCTATCCGCGTCGAATCCGTGTCGGATCCGTGTCGGACTCGTCGGATCCGTGTCGAATCGGTGTCGAATCCACGTTGAATCCACGCCAAGTCCACGCCGAGTCTGCATCGAGCCAGCGTCGGGCGCCAGAAAAG